AGTATGAGTAAAACAATACATTATTCCATTAGCGGTCAGGTAGTAGATAGAAACGATTCATTCAAAGTAATTTATCATATTTCTGCTTTTTTAAAAGGGTTCGATCTCGTCTCCTACATAAGAAATTTTGAAGTTATCCCCTCTTTGGACAAAAAGGGGTTAAAAACGATTTTATTTCTTAATTTCCATAACATCTGTTCGTTTACTTTTATTCACCTGTTTTTCGTTTATATTCTTCACAGTTTATTCATATCAACACTTATTGTGTAACTTGAATGATTTTTAACAAATGTTATTTTAATGGTTATATTTCCAAGTTTCTGATATACTTCCTATTACCAGACACTAGTCCAAGCCTTTATTATTCTTATCACAACTAGTACATCTGTCATCACACTATCAATTTGTACTTTTCCATTATTAAGTTTAGTTGTATAGTTTATGTTGCTGTCACTACTGACTCATAAACTGTCTTGATTGTTGGCGTTCGAAACCGAGGGTCCTGAGTTTGATTTCTGCCTACGTGATCGTGTATGCTCTGCTGAGAAGCTTCATACTAGGGTAAAACGGCCGTTCGATGTTTTCAATGGTGGTACAACGTAGATCAGTCTAGGATTTTAATGAAATTCAATCAACTTCACAACTGTATACTTACAATATTGTAAGCTTACATGTGTTTGTGAATGCTTACTCCTGAAGAGTCCCACACTAAAACAAAACCATTGCCCAATGCTTCCTGTTTTTCAGTGGTTGTCTTGTTATAGTCAGTCCGTGACGTGAACTACAAAACAGAACTTTCGTTGCCACGTCTGTACATATGCTTAAACGTACTAAATTATTCTCATACTTAGTGAGGTTATAATTTTTACTGTCTGAAATCTGTTGCATTGGAATTTGAGGCCAGTGATTAACTCAACTACTTCATTAATTTTATTGTTAACCAATCAATCAAAGCTTTATAACAGTTTATGACTTACAGTACACATTCCTACATAGTGAACTTTATTAGTTTTGAAGTTTATACGAGTGTATATTAACAGGTAAATGTCCATCTTCCTTAATAAATGTCATCTAAATGTTAATTATTATTCTGTCTCTTACACAATAAAAATTTCTTTTTCTAACCATCAGTTGAACATATATATGCCATTCAATTTTATTTCTAAAGGCACTTTGTTAGCGTATATCTTTGTGGGTGTACCACTTTAGAGATTGACAACAACATTTCACGCGTATGATCATATATATGTAGTGAATGAAGTTTGAAAATAGATTTGTGACCCTTTTAGTTTTGTGCTATTTACGCTCAAAGTTTGAGAAAAAAAGAGGTGGACGACTCCGTAGTGTATTGGGCTTGTCAAAACTTGGTAATAGTAGAGATGAAAATTTTATCATCATATGTTTTCATAATTATTCCTCCTTGTGTTATTTTATTATTTGATGTCATAATGTCATCCTAGTGTAAAGATTGACACTGAGATGCTGGTAGATTCAGTCCCAAATAGGATAAAACATTCTTCCTGAATTCCAACTTTAGCAGAAACATATGACAAAATGGTAGTATCAAAGTGGTCCACTTAGGATGCATGTTTTCTAATAAACACTGATCGATTGCAAACCTTAACGCCGACGACCAGAAAACACAGATGTTCACAAATAAATCTAATACTTAGTAGTTTTAGAACCTTGGAAACAATTAATCCGCAAATCAAATTTTTGTTTTGTTCATTCAGATATAAAAATGTGTATACTTTATTTACCTTAGAACCAAAAAAATGGGCCAAAAGGTTGAAGCGAGTAGGGAAAAAGTTATTGGTTCCAATCTTACACACAGATATGCTTGTTGTTAAACTAGTCCGCTTCCAACTGCCGTAGTCTAGTGTTGAGTACTGAACGAGCTTTATCGACCAAGCCGAATGTTAGCTACTATAACTAGTCTCAGAAACTCAAGATCACAATCCACCGTGTTTAGTATTCAAAGGATGAAAATGTGAGGACGGCCCACGAGTGAACTCAGGGAAGTTCTAAGCTGCTTAAAAATCGCCAGACATTCCGTTCAATCATATTTTGGAAAAACACCCCAGAATCTCGACTTGTAGCTTCCCTGTTGGGCAAATGCTAAAAACCGTTGTATGAGGATTGGATGACTGTAATGATGATTTCATTTTCATTGAAGACTACAAATACCTGGTAGCTTTGTACCATATTTGACATTGTTTGGGATAACATCCCTTCTCACTCGTCTTCTGTCTTGTAACTTGCGACTTGGAGAGTTCTAGCGTTCAAGCGCTCAAGTAGTATGCGCTATAGCAAGAACCTAAGCTCTAGATATAACAGGAATTCAATCTGTTCCAAGTCTTGACTAAAGGTTTCCTTATAAAACATCCACTATGATTTTATGTTTTTTTTTCTATTAATCCATGTATTTATCAATTAAATTTAATATAGAATCAATTATGATCATTGCCTAAGTTCATATCATCAATAGCAACGGTTTAAATTATCCAGAAGCTCAATAGATAACGTGTTAGCGTTTGAACCAAGAGGTACTGCGTTTGAATCCCAATAAGAAAACTAGTACATCTAGCTGATAACTCCTAAACGAGACGAAACGCGAGTCTTTGATTCTCTTACCAATGGCGACCCACCTATTCTATTTAGTTGAATTTCTTTGGGATAATGAATAAAACCTATATTATTCATAGTTATCTATTTTTATACATTATTTACTTCTAATGTAAATTCCAATTTTTAGAATTTGAAAAAAAACACTAAGATACATCCCATTCATTTTTGTTCTGTTTATTTGAATCTCCCCATTAATACTTAGAACTGCAATTCATCAGTCTCTTATAGGCGTCTGTGCGGATTGCCTCGATATTGCCTTAATTCACAGGCATTATTAACAGAGATGGTTAGTGGCTGGCAATGGAATCCAGGACGCGCGTTTCGTTCTACTTTGGACTCGTCAGTTGAATGTACCTGCATTTCAGAGTTGATGTTAACTCGGAGCTTATAATTCATGTGACTTAAGGCAATATCAAGGCAATCTGCACACCATGCACATATACCAACAAGAGACTGACCAATTGCAGTCCCAAATATCAATGGGAAGATTCAAACAATCTATACAAAAATGAATGAAACGACCCGATTGCAGGAGCTAGTGACTATCTGGACTGAGTAGCTAAGTCAATTACGCGATGGCATTTGAAGCAGATGGCACTAATTTCGAGGGTTGGAGTGAACATCAGCACTGTTATGCAGGTACATCGAGCTGACGAGTCCGAGATGGGACGGAGCGAGAATCCTGGATTCCACTGCTAGACACAATCCATCTCTGCTAGATGTGTTTGAGGCTATTATTTATGACTTTTTCTTTTCATCGTAAGTTTTTTGAGCCAATTGTGGTATTACGATGCTCTTAATCATATAATGTACATTGCATTTCACTTTGATAAAGAGAAACATGTAAGGACCATCAATGCATTGTTATCGTTTACATAATGACCAGTTTTATAATTATCAAAACCCTTGAATTAATATACCTTTTTATCTAGTTGAAACACATTGGAAATCGATGACTCAAAGATTTATATAGGCTGTCGATGAATGATTTTTCTGATGGAATTACAAAATACTAATTTAATATTTAAAAACTTACACAGTTGAATTATGTTGCTCAAAATAAAATTGTTTCTTGGTTCTATAACTAAATCATCACAGTTATAGCTGTGTTCGTTAGTGTCTGTTTTCCATGATTTCAGAAAATCTAATATTTTCAGATCCCTGCTTGAAATGAGCAGTTTTTTAATCTCTTAATATTCCTAATCATTTTGTTGACATATCTGTTTCATTGTAAGTCACGATTCAATTACCTTAGCAGAAATTTCATTGATTATAACATTGAATTATATCCGCTCGTATTCCACAAAGGGCATTGATGCGTATATAAATGGTAACTGCGAACTAGCAAATTTAAGGTTTCCTTTCATTTGCTACTAGCGTTTAACATCGAGTAAATTATAACCAATCAGTCGTGTGCAACATTGAACCTGGATATTAAATCTATCAAACTAATAGCCTTAATTTGAACTATCGATAGGATTTGATCAGAACTGAGGAATGAACTACATAATATTAACAACTAGTCATTTTATTAACTTATCAATCAGTTTTACTAAAGTATTTGAGTTAATTACGGTTTATTTGTATATTGTGGTTATGGCTAACAGTGGAATCCAAACTCGAGTTTCGTACAATATGAAGCTCGTCAGCTGGGACATACCTCCACCATAGTGTATTGACGTTCATACTGATATTCAAATCTAATTCCTATTGCTTGAAGCTACAATCCGTTATCCACTGAGCCATTGATTCAAGTTATCCATTACCTTGTCCAAACGTTTACCAGTGGAGTTTTTTTGTTTATGATTGATGCTGAACGAAAAATTGCGACTGAATATCAGCCCTAAAAGTTGCTGTTCTATGTTGCTAAATTTATCCACAACATTTCTAATTTTCAATAAGGATATTTTATCAATAGCTTTCGGTCATATTTCTTTTCATTTAATGAATGAATGTTGTATATCGAAGGGTGACTTGCATCAAAGATTTCATTTCAAACATCTGAAATTATATATGACTATCTGTTATGATCATGTTCGTGTATTATGGTGCAACCCTTACATTCTGCATTACAAAACAGTGACAATACAGTGAAAGTGAAGTCTGGAAATGAAATTTCTGGTGGAAATTGGGGTATTACGTGAACTATTTATGTCATCAAATAAATATAAGCGTCCGATAGGGCTAGATATAACAAACTTGTTGGATATTGAAAAGGTTACGAACAACCTCAGCCTGGACAGATTTAACTGACAAGAATTGTTGATCGTTTATTATTATTATGTAATTCCAACAACAAAAATCAGTATTTAACAATAATACATGAAATTTATCGTTTTTTGGAAACTGATTTCTTTTGGTTTTTATTTTAGGCTTTACTTAATAAATTTCTCGACTTTGATACGTTTGATTTGCAAGAATATGAACATTTTGAGGTAAGTCGAATATTTGTTTTTCTGTTTTATCATCTCTACAAATCTTTCATTTTTTAAAATAATTTTACAGAAAGTAGAAAATGGTGATCTCTCTTGGATAATACCGAATAAATTCCTTGCGTTTTGTGGACCACATTCACAAACGAAGATAGAAAATGGTATGTTGATTTTAGACTTTAAAACTCTAGGGTTTAAGTAAATAGTTGAATTTTTATAAGGTACATAATAGACTTATCTTAGAAAACCACTGAAAACTAGGAAGCACTAGAAAGTTATTTCGTATGGAACCCCTTAGCGGTCACTATTCACTAGATACCGACTCACAGGTCTACAGGTTAAGTGCTCGTCATGATACCGATGGTCTTAAGTTTGACACTCAATGGTTACCCACTTCCAAAGGGTTCAGTACTAGGATGAGATAGCTATCTAGTGTCTTCTAGCCTTCACTGATTTGTCTGAGATCAATCTTTAATAAGAACTGTATAAAGATTTGTTTTTCTTATTACATTGTAAGTGATTGAATATTATTATGAAACACTTAGTTGAAATAAGAATTTGTAGTCTGTGGGCCAAGAAAAATTTTCTTCCATGTAGCTACCATATTTATTTAGAAATAAATCATTATCTTCTGCCAGCATGTTATTAATTTATAGGCTACATTGATTATGTGCAGACCAGTACTATTATTAATACCATTTAAAAAAGAATATTAGTTCGATCTGTTTATGTTGAAGCTCCAATTTCGAAATTATGAATCCAGATAGGCATCATTATGAGATTTCATGGAGGGTAACATGATGAAGGTAGTCCTTTTTACTGTTTCCAAGCTTAAAGATTTATTCGGAGTAAATGTTTTGATAAACGTATATGTCAGATAAAATCACCAGTACTATTACAGTGCAAAGTTTTAAAAGTTTACGTATGATGACAACATGTATGTAACTAATTGATTTTTTCAAAAGTATCAAGTGTAAACTTGCATGTTTTATTTAAAATTTATGCAGTATTTTCTTCTTAGACCACTTTACTACCACCAGTGGTTAGTTAACTAGAAATCGATTATATTGTGGCATTGTAATGAATGCTATTTATGCTGACAGATATAAGTAGTATGTAGCAGTAATCTGAAGTGGACAGCAAAAGATTGAATTGAAGAGAATAGGAAGAGAAACAGAGAAAAAGTAATAAAAACAGAGTCGAAAGAATCATAAAGTATGTAAAGGACAACTGAAGGAAAATGTGCAAATAATGTATTTAATGTATGCTTTTCATATTTTACGAAGGCACTGTAATTTGGCATTAGACAATAAATTGGTTTTACCCACCTAAGTTTTCGTTCACATCAGTATTACTATGCTTATGGTTTTAAATTAAGAGAATACCAAAAAAAAGTATTTTACTTGTTATTGTGTGTGGGATTTCTTAAGCGGTTGTGTCAGAATTATTAAAACGTTCATATATTAAAATTAGAGTCTGCTGTTGCCTAAATGAAAACACAATTCAACAAGGTTTGTGAAATATATTAATTTATTTGTTGTCAAGATTTTATTTAAATCTTAATCATTTTATTATCCGCTCGAAATACACTCTTTCATTTAAACCTACTATTGAAAGCGTTCTCTGAAATTCCTTTGCTTCATTGCGTAAATGTGCTTCTAAGCTTAAATTGATTATGTTTATTGACGTTTTATTTTCTGTTGATTTACACTACATTTGACGGAATGAACTCACTTATTTTGTTTTACCAATAGTTTCAACCCATTTAAGTTAACAGAAATTGTATAGCAGCTTCTATCACATAGTCTTACGTTAAAGCTAGTTCATCTGATGCTTCATAAGTTTTTCCTTTCCCAACCTGGCTATTGGACGTTGTTAGTACACTTGGAGAACAAATAAAATCTTACAATGCGGAAGGTGATAAAACTGTAACATGGATAAGAGGTTACCAAGATGCCCCAAGTACCAGTTCCAAGCGGTCGATTGATTAATCAGTGTTGGACCACCGTTGACCTCGACCAGTTATGAAAAGTAACTCAACGTTCAGTGATTAGTTTTCCTAGGCTGAAATACTTTCAGTATTACCGACTAGTTTGCGTAGACTTCAGTAATATTTCAATGTTCTTACAATCTCTTCATTAATTAACATTTGCTTTTTTGAATGATTGAGTTTAATCTATTCGTTTGTTTGATTTTATTTCACTTATATAGGTTATCCTCTACATTCACCAGAAGCTTACTTTCCATATTTCCGTAAAAGAAATGTAACCACTATAATTAGGTTGAATAAAAAAGTTTACGATGCTAAACGTTTCACCAATGCTGGCTTCGCTCATTATGATTTATTTTTTACTGATGGGAGTTGTCCATCTGATCATATAATGAATCGATTTTTAGAAATATGCGAAAATGTTACGGGAGCAATTGCTGTACATTGTAAAGGTTAGTTTTTGTCTTATCGAAATCTGTTTGTTTTTTAAAGCTTGACTATGCAAAACATTGTAACATTTGGTCTGTACTGAATTATTTATTCTTCATCATTATATATATATATATATATATATATATATATATATATATATATATATATATACCTCCTTAGTCATTATTTGGCCTATACTGCAAGAACTGATCGTAATCAGATGTACAGTATTTGAATGTTTAATCCTTAAATTATTTAAGTTAATTAGGCTAATTATTAGACCAGTTTGCTAAGATTTTTTGCTTCTATATTATTTATACTTCTACATACATTATATTGGATGCTGTTACTCAACAAATTACTGCATTTATGTAAATTAATATTGTACCTAATGTAGTGCCTTTAATATAGTTTTGTTCATTCTGTGATACAGGTACATCCAGCTGATGAGTCTGAAATAGGATGAAACGCATGTTTTGAATTTCACTGCTAGCCACCATTCATCTCTGCTCACTAAATTCTTTGATTTGATTTTTGTACATATTGTTTTATTTGAAAATAATTTATATTATCATACAAGAAGATGAGGTAACAATTAATTACAGGTGAATTTATTCCACGCTTTTTAATGTCACTTGGTCAATCAATTTTTCTATCAAGCTGATTGCTATTTTATGGAATGTATCTTGTTAAATAGTGATTTGGTATTTTACTTTTTTTGTTGACATGGTCATATACAAATACTTGATAGAGATAATGAATTTATTTCAATCATGTAAAATGTTTATAAATAGTAAATTATTAAAACTCTGTTGCCGAGATTCAATCACTAAATATAATTCCATCCAAGAAATCAAGAAAAATATCTTGTATTTATTAGACATGATTTCATTCAGTTAACTTTCGTAATTATTGAATGTGAACTTCCTTAACTTCGATTTTCGATTTAACTTTATTGTTTTATCAGAATGGGGACTTTTGTAGATTGTAGTAATTTTAATGGTTGAAATCATGAATCAATCTAAGCTACACTATCATTGAAACTTGGAAGAACTGGACGGCCGTTTCCTCTTAGTATGCGACGCCTCGACAGTGCCCGTCCACTATGCCGCACGCTGGACTCGAACCCAGAACCGTCGGTCTTGTGCGCGAACGCCTAACATCTAGACCACTGAGCTGGCATCACAAAAGGGTTACTGTTTGCTTTTGAGATAATATTTGATCAGTGTGATAATCAAAATCCACTGAATTTTTATCGTTTTATAACGGATTGCTCTCGAATGTTATTTGAAATCTTCTTGTGGTCATTGTTAAACAAATTTTCAAGTAAACGGGGTTATATGAACAGTTTGTTGTATCATTGTTCCAAGTGTCGTCAAACTAGTCACTGTTACTGTAAATGTATCGGACTCATGTTTAATTATAATAAAATCGTAATTATTCACTTATGAGATAGTGGAGAAGATTTGAAGCTCAGGTGGATTATACCTACAGATATATCAATAACACAGATTGAAGAAACATTATTCATTATATACAATGATGTTTAGTACATTAAATTGTATTTAAAGATCTTATTGTCCACATAATACGGTACATTGGAAGTAATTTCCAAATTGATATTGGAAAGTTTTTCCCACTTAAAATCCTTTTTTTTCAACGATCATTCAAATAACTGATAACTTCTTATTTCATGGACAACCTCAACCTAGACAGTATTAACTGACAAAAACGTTAATAGACAATAAATCTGTGTTGCTATTTAACTTTTCAGTACCTAATAGGTTATTTGATCTGTTTCACTTTGTTTAGTTAATCAATAAGTCATAAGTAACGTAAAGCCTAGCATAGATGTGCATTTCAACGTTTCGATTCTTTTATCTTTTATTTTAAATATTAAAAAAAATTCAGCTGGTTTAGGTCGTACTGGTACACTGATTGGATGTTATTTAATGAAACATTATAAACTTACTTCACGTGAAGTGATAGGTTGGATTCGTATCTGTCGTCCTGGTTCGATTATTGGACCACAACAACATTGGTTAGATTTAAAACAACCAATTTGTTGGCAATTTGGTGAAATTTACAGAGAAAATCAGCGTCAATTAACAACAACACATTTAGCAGAATCATCCATGAGTAGTGATGAAGATTTCAACGTAGCAGAAACAGTAAAATTACAAAATACTGTAAAGAAAAATGATTTATTAACGTATAGATCTTCAGAAAATGGATTATTAGTTAAGAATGGTAGAATCTGTAAATCTGTTACTCCAGTACCATTGGTTAGGTAAGCATTTTTTTAATACACGATAATTTATTTATTTAATTCATGTTTTAAATTATCCCGTTGTTGTTATTTTGACTTAAATTTGGTTAATTTTGACATATGTTCATTCTGTTGTGATTGCCTGTATATAAACACTGTGAGGTAGGTTTACGTAAAATAAATAGAATATGTCTAGCAGTATAATTTAGGAAGCACGTTTCGTCCTACTTGGGACTCATCGTCTGGATGTATTTCCATCTTAAAGTTAACGTTTACTCTGGTGGAAATGAGTGGCTAAACGGATAACGGGCTGACGTTTATAGAGAAGGATTCTGAATTGAGTCCTGGATTTACCATGAACTTTAGGATGTGGGCAAATCCAGCTGATGAGTCTCAAAAAGGGCAAAGCACACACTGTGAATTCCACTGCTAGCGATATTCTGTCTATTTTATATGAGTTCACTTAGTATTGAAACAGGAAATATTGATTTTGATGGTATTAGGTTATCTGATGCTCTCAGTTTGATTGAGAAGCTTTCATTATCGTTCTGGAAAACGCATGAATGAGGGGCTGATAAAGTTCAGAAAAACAATGATATTTCAACAACTACGATATCTAGCTCAGAGAACGCAACACCACCTAAAGTAACCATTTAAGTTGCAAATCACATCAAAGGACGAAATTAATGTATGTATCGGATAATACTTCATTGATCCGAATTGAATTATTTCACTGCAATCTATGTTTAGGAAAATTATGTGGGCTAATTAGTCGTACGGTATTGCCATGAATCTACGAACCTAGGTTTGGTGCTGCTTAACAATGCTTAGCAAAGCAGATCTGTAATCATGAGGAAACTGATGCTTTAGGTTTGGTTTCAAAACACATGTTTTTCACCGTCGTAGACGCTTACCACAGTTCTGTTTGTGTAGAGACTAACGTCTCGTTGAGCTGATTCCTTAATCCTAACAAATGTCATGTTTTTTCAATACTTAGCATTGATGAAATTCCATAATAATACAAATTACATTATATAGTTACATAAAGATTCAGATTCATCAGCAATAGATTTAAATAGGTAACATAATTATATATTTAATTAACATATTAGAACGTTTTATCACTCAATCTTCTTACCTTAAATTAGTATTTAGCTTATGGTGTTTCTTAAATGATGTTCTATCATGGATGCCACCTAATGCACATAGGTATATTCTTCTGATAATCGTCTGTATACGGATACTATCAAACGAATATTCAGAATATTTGTTTACGACTTACTCAAAAACAACAACACTTTTCAATTTTCCTCCTGCTATCAGTACGGGGTTGTGGAGTGAGGTTAAAAAGGCTAAAAGTAATCTAAAGTGAGGGATAGTAGCAGAGCATCATGGACTAACTTCTGCGTTTTTAAGGGTGGTAGTCCAGTTTCAGCGGTTAGATTAACTGAAATCTTAGCCAGAATGTGGGAACTGGACGTAATCCCGTCTGACTGGTCTCTATCTCTGATCGTCCCAGTCTATGAGAAGGGATAAAAACCCTTTTGTGACAATCACAGAGGAATCAGTTTAACTAAAATAGTGTCTGGAATATTAGCTTTAATGATACTTTGACGTCGAACTAGAGCACGTGAAGAGCAAACTTAAGAAAACTTGGCTGATTTCAGACCGAACGCAGACGTATAGACCAATTATTCACCCTTCGGCAGGTTATGGGACATAGATACACTTTTTAACGTCCGACTATAATTGTGTTCCTTGACACTAAAGCAGCCTTTCATTCTGTTGACTGTGAGGTTCTGTGACAGTATCTGTCAATGAAGGACGTATCAAAGAAGTAAATTAACGTTGTACAGGTCCTCTACTCGAACACTACTGGTCGAGTCAGAGCTTATGGTGAACTGTCATCGGAATTGATTACTTCAGGGCTATCTGCTTTCCTCATTTTGATTTAACTTTGTCATATAAACGTTTTAGAGATAATACTTTTATCATCTGACTTTTCAGGTATTGATTTTTACCAGGAGATTCAGTTGTTGACTTAGAATATGCAGATGATATAGTTTTGTTTTGTGAAGGCGCTGACAAAATTTAGTTTTTTGACCACCTTAAACAAGAATTCAAGTATGTTTGAGGTGCATTTCTTCCTCATTCCAAATGTAAACTTTTACTTCAGGAATGGCTTTCATCATCACCCGAATTAATGATAGGAAGTGAAGTAGTTGAAGACACCGACCGATTCACTTATCTTGGAGGTCTCATCAGTCTTGTTGGTCTGGTATCTAATGTAATCTCGTCACGTATTCAAAACGGTCGGATGGCATTTACCAACTTGCATCACTTGTGGCATAGGCAAGACATTTGTCTTCTCACCAAAGGGCGAGGTTGCCGTGCAGCAGTTCGTTCCGTTCTACTTTATGAATGTGAAGTATAGCCATTAGGGATAGAGAATATTCACAAATTACTAGTATTCAATCACATTTGTTTGGGTGTCTTGGAGGCACAGAGTAATACGTAGTGATGAGAAATCGTTTGATGGGGTAGTGAATTTCCATCAACTGAGGTGGTTGGGACATGTGTTACCTGTACCCCGTCACTGCCTACCTCGACGGGTGTTGTCTGGTTTAGGAGTGGGCTGGAAGAATCCGAGGGGCGGTCGAACCAAAACGTCGCATCACTCCATGAGGTCACTGTCAGTTCGATTGGGCCATTTTAACAGGTGTAGAATAATTGATTGAGGCCTACATGATTATCGTAACCAGTGGTTAGAGACTTTGAAATACAAGTGCATCCGTTCTTTGTCTTCCCCCAGATTCTACTCTTCGGAATGCCTCATAATCTTTTTTCAATTCACCAATTTAGATTTTCTTCTCGAATCGTATCTTCGATGAGTAATCTTTTTTATTATCACTGATACTGTTACTACCTACGTTATTCCGGGATTTGGCCTGATAATTTCATCGTGTTGTGCTGATAGGATATATGAACTTGAACCAATGTACACACTTACAAGGTTCTACGTTGCGACTGATTGACTTATGTGACTAAAACTAAGTAATTAGGATTGAGGTATGAATAACGCAGACTGTATTGATACAATTTGCAGACTGGAAGTGAAAGTTAGAACACAATATAATAGAATATCAGAGATACAACTGAATTACTAAAGATTCAAACTGACAAATAATAAGTGATCTGGAACATATCATATGAATAAGAACTGCATTTATTTGAGTCAATTACAAACTGATTGACACAGAAGGGTGAAGGTAAGAGAATGAAATACAGTTAATAACCGTCCACAGTCAATAAGATTGGTCACTTATGCATCAACTTGAGCCGATATTCATTTTTATCAGGTTCTAACATTGTTTATGACTGGATGGTTGACGGTTTATTTCAAATACTTTTATCTAGATGTTATTTCAACAACCTGACAAATATTTAATATTTTTCAATAGTTGAGATCATGAGTCAAATAAAGCTGAACCACTATGAAAAATTGGAAGCACTGGACGGTCGTTTCATTCTATTGTGGGACTCCTCAGGAGTGCGCACCCACGGTCCCGCTCGCGGGATTCGAAACCAGGGTCTTCAGTCTCGCGCGCAAACACAACCTACTGGACTGCTGAGCCGGCATCCAACGGTGTTAGTGTCTAACATAAACCAAATCCACGACGTTACTGAGGTAGATACTTGTCTCTACCCGACACGGATTAACTCCACTGGTCGCGGCTTCTCACTAGAACTCCGAGAATTTCCTCTCGAAACTAGTCACGAGTGAGCACACATGTTAATCATCAGTATAGGGGTTGTGGAGATCATAAAGTTTTTGATTGAGATCACGAATTGATTGATGTTAGACCACCGTTAGAAACCTGGAAGCACTAGACGGCCGGCTCAGTGGTCCAGTAGGTTGTTTTCGCGCGCGAGACTGAAGACCCTGGTTTCGAATCCCGCGGGCGGTATCGTGGATGTGCACTGCTGAGGAGTCCAGAAATAGGACGAAACGACTGTTCAGTGCTTTCAGGTTTCCAACGGTGGTCTAACATCATTCGGTTCATGATCTCAATCGAAAGATTTCAATATCGTTCCGAGATTATGAATTTTTATTAACTGAGTTAGTTAGGATGTGTGTCAGATATGCCCGAACATCGACTGCCTCTACAGAATATATTGGTTGGTGCGGAAGTAGGTTAAAAAATGTTATGGACGGGCAAACTGTGGTGTCCATTCATAAAGTTATTCACTGTTTGTCTGAGTCGTATTGATGCAGAGTACTTGGCCTGAGTCCACATGATAACCGCTACCAGTAGTCGTTGGAAATGTCGAATGATATGTCTTAGAATCAATCACAGCGATGTAGATCCATTACCTCTTCATCTTACTCTGGATGTTGAGACCCATTATTCCCTTATACATACTTTTTCGTCCCATCTTCTTGAAAAATATTCTCAATATTTAGTCTTTCTCATTATCATCCGTATTACCATTGATTTGATTCCTCTGTTATTAATCTTCCTGCGCTAATATAGTTTGGAAACTTAAGATAACGAATAATTTTGCGAAGGTGTTCTTTGATTATGACTAATGTTCATGCCCAGTCAACCAAGCCTTTCCTTTCCTACATCACAATAATCTTGAAGTAAGATATTGTTATAATCCTATATCTACACCTCAAACCGTATTCATCTAATCTTGAATTTCTATGTGAAAGCAGATGAATGTTATTTTTCTGCATCATTTTTTTATTAATTCTTCAATTAACATCAGTGTATAATGGAATGTTACATTTAAATCTAATTGTATGTATTTTCCTATACAAATGTATGAATTACTATATTTTTGTAAGTTTGATTTTCGTTTACATACTTTTCATGTTTAACATTTTTTTCAAATTTTTCTTCTAATTCTTTTGTTAAGTTATATCATGATGGTTCAGTTAGAAAAACGTATTAAACAATTAATTCATTCTATAATAAACATCACCCCCTCCATTACTCCGTTTCATGGTTCTCATTAACTGAAGTTTATCAACTATTTAAACCAACTTATTGGAAATTAATAAATACTTTTTGTTAGATTTGTTAAATTTTTTGTTAGTTATATTTGCTAAAACGAAAATTATATTGTCATGAATTCAAACTTTCATAACTCGTTAGTTGGTCACTGAGTAGTGGTCAATCTAATGTTAATCTAATCCTTTGTACTGATTGAGTTCTATCGTTTGAATTGCATTGTGACCACTAGACTAAGTGACTTGAAATCTTACGCACTATATTTTCATTTTATTTTGAATGAGTCGACAGTAATGACGTTTCTCAGCAAGAGGTACTTCGAATCATGAGGGATTTGGTGCTCCCTGTGGGATTCAAACACGGGTCACCTAGCTTCACAGTATGAGATGTTACCACTGAGTTATTCGGATTTGTCTCTTATAGTATTTCAATTCCACATGAATAATTTGCTTGTGAGTAACAACTAATAAGAAACCTAGATCCAGGGTTACCTACCTAGTACCTCAAACTACTTGACATCAATTATATAACTCATTACCAACACATCTACAGTATACTGATCAAAGAACATAACATTAATGCTTAAAATGATAGATGCTGATTATATATAATAAAAATTAACCATGAAATTACTGATTATTATTATTAATTAATTCGAGATACTTTAATTCGTTTATCAAATATGATTATTCAACACAAAACTAGATTCTTTTTCTATAAAATGTTTGTTTTTTTTGTCCCATTTTTCTCCTTCCCCCATCATATAGGTCAAATTATAATTCAAATGATCTTGCCATTAAAAATGTTTGCACTATTCCACCTATTTTATCTCCCGAAATTTTGTTTTCAAACAGTCTTGTTCAAAACCAACATAAAAGATGTTTGAGTAATAATAATAATAATATGAATATGAATAAAAACGTCAAATCGAATATCGGCAATGCAAGAAAAACAACAACAATAACAACCACTACTACTAATAACATTAATAATAATAGTATCTGTTCTCTTGGAATTAGTACTGATAATACTGGCAGTAGTAATGATAGTAATAATGATAATAGTGGTATTAGTGATAGTAATAGTAACAGTATTAGTATTAGTAGTAATAGTAGTAGTAGTGCATCTATCACCGAGACTCTCACTAATTCTCCACGATGTTACAATATAACTGTTAAAAATATTAATTTATCACAATTATCTAATGACCAATCAAAAAATGCATCAAAATTAAAAAACAATAAATCTTTATCAAAAACCAATTCAGATATTTCATCGAAATGTTTTGATCGCGAAGTGATTATTAATCCAAACTTAATTAATGTACAAAAATCAAAGAAATTATGTAAGTTTTATTAACTTTCTTTTCGATTGTTCTGTACAATTCCAATTGTATTTCAACGCGTAAACAAACACTGTTGTTTTATTTTTATATCTATTTCGAATTTTATCATTATGAAAGATATTGTTTTGTATAGTGTTCGATTTTGATAAGGATACATAAGTTCGAGCTAAACCGGCTATATGAATAAGTAGAATAAGAGTGGAAAAGAAGCCCTAGTTGAATAGTCGAATTGGCATGTATGTAAACTCATTCATGCATACATATAAGTTTCTGTAATTTAGAAAATTAAGCCATTGATTCCTTAGAAATTCAAACCATTTACTGCTTAATATGGTACAATTATCATTCAGTTGATTTCTCATTCGGCCAATGAAGCACATTTGCGTCAAAGAAAATATGTTTAACTTCATGTGGAATGATATGGGCATATATTTATGGCAAACAAAATTATATAATTAATTAATTCACCAGACATTTGTATGAATCACATTTCAAGTCTGAGGGCTACTGATGCCACCAAGCCGCCTATAAAGAAATAGTTGGAGCATGGTTCGAACTCGGCACTTAATGGCTGAAAGTCGCACGTTTTGACCACAAAGCCATCTCTTAATTGGATGTGGACAATAATGATGGTCAAGTTGTGAGTTACATCAAGGGAGATGTGGACCTATTAATCGAGATCTCCAAGATATGTGATCATAATCTATAGTTGAAGATCCGCTGTCAATTATCGCAAAATCTGTCGTTGAGGAGTATATGTATCTTTTATCCTACACTTTTATTTATATCTTTCTAATTTAATTTCCCTTGCTGATTTCAATATTTTCTGTGGCGTTTCGGTATGTTGGGTTGATGAGTATAATACCTCGATCTTAGGTTGTTCAGGAGCGAATGATTAGATCTTAATGTCGTCTTTGAGTTGAAGATTAAAAGCAAGAGTCAATATGAAAATCTACGTCGGTCATATCCATATATTGTACTTGTTCATTATCAGAATCGTAAATATTTGTAGCATGATTTCAATTTGATCAACCGGCCAAATAAATGATTGAAGTATTGCACAATACAAGGAAACAACAAAGTAAGGGGAAATTGCTTAGCAGGGTTAGCCCATTCTGTATTTGATCGTTGGTGGTAGTCTTAGGAAAATCTGAATTTTTGCTTTTTTCTAGTTGACATTCGTCAGCAGAGTGTATCTGAAATCCTTAGGAAGCTGATAATCTCTGGAGTATCTAAATTTGCGTCACCCATCTTCGTAGACAGAGATAGTACCACTGAGCTGTTAATGTCATGATTGACCTCCTATGGGACTAAAAGATTTACAAGGTTGGGACGACATTTCAACCTGATTGACAGGATTCGATAATTACCAAGGGACTAGATAAATACTAATAAGCTCACTACTCAGTGATCAACCAGTTGTAAATGTTCAATTCACGTAGAATGTCAGTTGCGGTTCAAACTGTTCAGTGTTAATGTCGCAGACTGTGGAGCTGGGTGGCTCAAGTTTCAATATCACAGAGAACACTAATTCTCTCAATGTTCCAGGTACACTCTGCTGACAAGTGCTAACTATCACGAAACTTGGGATTTAATATAACTATCGTCTAGACTAAACTTTGGAACAGTACAGAGGCTGATTATACCTCGGTCACTGACACTAATTTTGAACCATGCATATATGGCTTAGAAACTAACTTCTTGTGTCTATGGTCCCCATATATATGTGTATATCGGATCATTATGCATTTAGAACATAAAGTCAATACTTGTACGAATCAATAACCATGTCTAGATAATTCGAACATGCTGCATTTATACTAATTAAGATTAATCAAAGCTCAGTTAAAAGTATCAGTAACGAAATAGTTCAAATCTCTTTAATGATGATATCATGTCGTTTTATTGCTATTTAAAATCTATGACATTGACTTCGAAACTCTATTATTCACAATGTCCCTTCGATCGTTCATGTCTTTGAGTGATAGTCCTGAACTATCTACTGGGACTTTTATCAAAATTTTATTTTGTTTTTGCTATTCATACTGTCGAAATTGAACGTTTTACAAGTCTAGTTTTGTTTACCTCGTCGGACTTAATTTTTCATGCTTTCTTTTTATTTCACTAATTCAGTATTAGACGATTCACCTGACTCATCTTAAGACGTTGATCAGGGAGTTTAACATATGTGCAAGTCATCGGGTTTGTATGAAACCCAAAGGCGAAGTGGTCGTAAAGGTTTGGCTTGTCGCCGAAGTTATATTTCATCCTGTCGTCTTACTCGCATTTCATTTAAGCTGCAGACAGAAAATCTCCTACCCGTCCCATGACATGGACACGTGACCTTATTTTGAGGCAGAGTATGATCATCTATTTGGCCTGAAAGATGATAAACTAAGCGAGCGAAGATTGAAGCCAGGCGAAACTTCTGGATTTTCGTAGCGATTCTGACGAACGAGTGGATCTTAGAAGATAAGTATTGAAGTTAGATTTATGTAACTACTTAGTACCCGGTTCTCTCAGAATAACTGACATTTTGAGGAGTAAACAGACTTACCAACATTCTATTTTTTCTGGATTCTGCATTATTTTGATCACTCACATCATGTACAATGAGATAATTGTAATAAATCTGGTCTCAATTCCCTATTGTGTAATCAGCACAAATAACTGAAGTTTTATAGATAACCGTTGAATTCGTCGCTAAATATCTTTTTTATTGTACTACATTAAATCCTATTCAAATACAAAACAGAATATTATTTAATAAAACTTAGATAGTTTATAGCCACATTTAGTTCACCACATTTTTCTTTTCTGTTGAAACTGAATGACTGATAAACGATCTAATATTGTAACTGATTAGTTCTGTTATTATATTTAAAAACATGTTCTATCAACGATATCTTATTGAGTTATCTAACATTTTATCAATACTTTGGTTAATACTTAGTCGTGGAACTAGAATTAATAAACACTAACAAAGTTGTTAGAACCATTAAGTTTCACCCAACAGTTTGTCAATTTCTGATACCCTTAAACAATATTTAATTTTTTTAAATACCAGCTAAATTAAATTCAAAATCACGTATTAGTCAAGGTGATCAGTTGAATAGAATAAAAGCAATGAGACGTCCAATGCAACAGCGTGTATCAGATTCCCAAAAACGCAGTAATATAAAATTAACAAACAGTAATAGTAATTTGAATCGTACCTTCAATCGTGCGGCAAGTACTCCAACTGATATACATGATTTGGATCGTGGTTCTGTTTCATGTACATCATCCATGACAAATATTCAAGATCAATTGCCTGGATCTACATTAACCTATTCATCTAGTCCTGACAACTTTAATAATACTAATTCGTTATGCTCAAACACTAAGAATAAAAAAAGTGGAAATATGTCTCCTATATATTCGGGTAATAATGATTCAAGAACTCAACCTGATACCTACACAAAGTGTACTCCATCTACTATTGTATCTCCAACTGTTCCACCACGTTTTTCTCGATATTCAACTCGTCAGTCGTCAAATCGTAACAACAGTGGTTCAATCACAGTTAAAGTACGGTGAGTGGCTGCATTTAACTAGGTATTTTGCTAAGGAAAGATGGATTTGAGTGATTTACTGATAACATAATTTGACAGAATTGTTCCAATCGATAGTTATTGTTATTTTTAACTGAATAGTTTAAATTACCAAGCTTTTATTGTCTTATTATGAGCAACATAAGTGACTAATTTAAATCGACATGTACACTAAACTTGTGTCGCTTGTGGAATAACTCAAGAAGCTTACTTATTATTGAAATAACCTATGACTGTACATTGTTCAAAATAGCAAGGATAGCTCTACAACCAAATTAATTAGCTAAAAGTATTATATCCGAACGAAGAAAAAATGAATGGTAACTGTTAGGGATTATCTATGAAATGTTATTACATATATTCCTATTGTATAACTGTAAAGTAACTAGATTGTGTGTATATTCGTATTCCCCGACCGTCGTTGCTACCTTGACGTGGTGGTTGGGCTTACCTATCGTGATGAACCAACCGAGCTATACTGGCTGGAACAACCGTTCCTCAAGGTCCTACCATGTCAGACAGGTCGGTTAAAGAGCAGTAAGACTAAAAGCAACAAACCCAAGGTCCGAAGGCGAAGTCGTACTGCTGACTGTACAGAGGTGTGACAGCAGTAAGGTGCTTCCTTCAGACAACCAGCGTGACAGCGATGCTGCCTTCCCACAAGGAGGGGTGGGGTTAGAAAAGGTCGACCCTAAAAATGTACACCTCGCCTTATCCCACGGATATCCGTCTCCAGCGGTAAGGTCCCAACAAGTACGGAGTTAACACGAAAACTACTCACAAAGGGGTCGTGTGTGACTGGCCTCAAGCAGTTGTCTCTTGGGCACTGCGGTCACGCTCTCAGGTCACAAGACCACCTCTAATCCGATTTCCTTTCCAGGTACCTCCAGAAGAACCCTTCCACGGTGTGTGCGACCGGGAAGTGATAACCGCACTCATACCTCTAACAGCACTCAAGACCACTTTATTCATAATCAACGTCTTTCTTCAGTTCCTATTATTTTTCCTACGGCGACCTTCAGCACTAAAGTTCCTCTTTTGACTTCCTCCTCAAATATCATCATAGCCAACGATTCTAGTGCTCAAAACACTGTCCCAGGTCTACTGAAACCTCGCTCCAAACTACAAATTGGAGCCTTCAACGTACGCACCCTTTGTCAAATCGGTCTGCAGGCCTCTTTGGTTGGGACTCTAGAATCTCGTACCATTGATGAACACTGCGTCTCCGAAACACGTATACTGGATCTTAGTGTGGTCTTTCACTTGACCCCACCTCGCCAAAACGAAGAGCCGACGAGATACACCCTCCGTGTATCTGGCGACCCGATGGTCAGTTCGTGTGGACTGGAAGGTGTAGAAATAGAACTCAGCACGAGGGTGGAACAAGCACTATGAGAGTGGATCCCTGTTAACCGTCGTCTATGTGTTGTTCGATTAAGCGGCTCCATAAGAACTCGGAAGGATAGGGAAACACGTCGTTGCCTTTTCGTCGTTTCTGCCTACGCTCCCACTGACTGCGACACGGACGGAGTGAAAGATGACTTTTACAGAAAGCTTCTTCAGAAAGCTAAACGCTCAGACATAGTACTCGTAGCAAGTGACTTTTATCCCCAGATGGGTAGCTTAAAACAAGCAGAAAGACATTTAGGTGGGTATTTTAGTATCCCACCTCAGCGAACAAATAATAGTGATCGTCTGCTGCAACTGTGCTCAGACAATCGTTTACTTTTAGCAAACAGTAATTTTAAGCATAAAGAGGCATCATCTAACATGGCGACCCCCTACACCAAACCAGTGATGGACTCAAATAGACCATATTGCCATCAGTGATCGTTGGAGAGGGTCGACAGAAGATTGTCGCTCATTCTTGAATACCCGGTTGGACTCCGGCCATGTTCTAATATGGCACACATCTGCTTGCGCCTCACTGGACGCAAAAAAGCCACACTAAAAAGTCCCATTAGAAGTGAACTGAGCAATGAGAAAACCAAAGTAGGTTCCAGGAAGAACTGAGGTCACACTTAGGTCGTTATGAAAATCAGGTTGACCCAGATGTTGTTTGGAAAGATATACAAACAGCTTATATGCAATCTTTCTTTTACATATTACCACCACTGAATTAACTACTATGAATTCGTTGTTCATCTTGTTGTGCTAATGTGGTATGGCATCTTGGACCGATGCGTATATGTGCCTGGTTGTACTTTGTAGCTGATTGACTGATGTGATGCGGTCTAGTCTGCTTGTATATAAACTATGTATGTCCGAAATACATGATTCATATAGTAGAAGCTGAGATTGTGTTCTGGAATCAGCGGTTAAGGCAAGGTCGGAAAAGCCCATAGGGATTCAGAGTTGACTCTGGTTAGTTCGTGCTGGTTAGCACATCATTGTATTGGCACAGAGTTATGGTCACATAAGTCAGTGTTATGATTGACGATCTTGTCACGTGATAATTGGCAGAGCCAAAGACATAACGTAGAGATCACAATTTGAATCAAGGTATCAGTTTTAGTTACTAATCTCCTGTATGAAATCAGGGCACTCACGGTTAAACAATGATATTCATTAGTCAGTTTATTTTTATGCTATTCATAATATATTTCTTTTTTCGACATTTCATTGACAATAACATTCAAGGTACTTGCAAATAATTAGTTTTTTAAATAGACACATGGGGTTAATCTCATTCATTGATTATGATATAGGTATAGAAATATCCAACTAAACTTTAAACCCTACTTGAAATTATGGATAACCATAATATACATAAAGCATATATAGTTTGTTATTTTAAAAATGAGTTAATATTCATATCCTCTTCTCATTTAGACCACTAACAAACTATTGTAACACAAAATATTCCAAGTTCACTTTGGTTAAATATAATGTCCTTATTTTCAACAATTTATTACACATGTAACAATATTGGTGAAAACATGTGACACAGATTATCCATAACGCAATTGAGTTTCCTTGTACTGTATTGTTCTATTTAAAAGAAATTTCTTTTGGATGACAAATATTTCCATCATTATACGCTTATAAAACAACAAGTGCAAGAAAGCAGCTGTTGTAGGGATCAGAATTTTCTCTGAATAATTAGTAATGTAAGAAATTCTTTTACCCTAGATTATGGTTTTCACTGCTCCAAAGTCAGAATAAGCCTTATTGAATAATCTATTCATTGACGGCCTGCTCGAATATTTGGGCTACCTGTCCCTGCTATCTATATATTTCAACAAGTGATCTGTTTTTATTTGTTTTAACTCCTCTTTATGTCTATTAATCACATAACCCATTCAGGCGCGTTTACGAAAGGTTTACGACCTTTCACTGTACAAGTTACAAAAACGTACAATCAGAGACATCATGATGGCTGGGAACATACATTGAAGGAATGAACATTATTCAGATGTCAATTCCTGAACTGCTAGTATCTAACTTGGGATCGCTCATTATCGTCAGGATGGATCAAGAAATGAAAAAAGGAAACTTTTTGAAATATTTTGTTCTCAAAATTCTATATTGTTATTATTTATTTATTTTAACACATAAATATTGGTACAAGAGGGCACCGAACACATAGGCGCCACACAAGTCACTTGACTTGTGTGTGAGCTGTAATACTGTCCGTGTGCCCATACCGAATCAGATGGTTTTCTTAGGTGGCCACTCCCCAAGGTCTGATCCACATGGTAGTGGAGCAACGTCATGAGATGCAGTCCCATGGTATCCGGTGACCAATAATTGGTTCATACGTCATTTGTTCCCTTAGGATCCTGGAGCCGATTTGAACCATTGGTTTGGAATCGAGGTTTTCCAACTCCCCTAGGTGGACTCTCCGTGTCTACCAACCCGGTTAAAGCGCCGGACATTCGCTTTTCGTCCTTTCAATTTCGTAAGCAACACCCTCGTCGCGAGAATTCAGTGAGTGGGAATTTCCTGGCAGTCGTTGTATACGTGTGACCATGTGAGAGCATTTCGATAGGGAGAGCTGACTCTCCCTACCCTCAGCCATACCAGGGCATTAGAGAGCATTCTATATTGTACAAAAATATAATATTGAACAAAGCCATTAATAATACTAATATAACTGTTTGCCACAAACCATTTAATCATCTTTTTTGCTTAAAATTATGTATATAAAGTAGTATTTATCCTCAATATTAATTCTTCTCACTCATAGACCCAACTGTGTCTTCTGGTGGTACGTGGTTTAGTGGGATGTGTTGTTCTCGAGGGTAGTAACTATATCTGTTTTCAATTCCCATAGCAACTGTGTAAATCTATTTTGTTTACCACAATAAATTCCACTCGTTTATATCAGCATATTATTTAATTAAAGATCATAATTTCCTTCAATTTACTTGGTCAAACTCAAGGTTTCTAGGATTCGTCTTTTATAACTTATACTTCCATTGTCTGTAAAGTGTATGATTATGTGAATATATTATCTGAGTGGTATTTTTACGTCGATGTTTAATGTAAATTGGAGTTTGTTCTTAGTCCTATAGACGCAAGTTGGTTACGTTGATCTGTAGATAGAAATTATTTGCTTAACTTCACGGAGAAAAGTTATTTTTATGTCGTTATTTTAAATTTGTGAAGTAGAATGTTATCTTTCTCAATTATAAATACAGAAAACTCCGAAAGATTTCCATTACATCACTATTTACGTCAACAATGGTTAAAAAGCTCACAATTTATATTTCCCAGAATAACAGATATCCTTTGTCTTCAAAAGCCTGTAACTGGCGTGGTTATTGTTGTTATGAAGTACAATGCTTAAGTTCATCTGGGTAACCATTATTTTGTTTGCGATTGGCGTACTTGATTTCAATGCATGTATATTTTATTGCCTGGAAGTATTGGCTTTTCAGAACATGGAAGATCATTTGAGACCCACAAGCTAATCTTGACTTATGGTTGGATAACCAGCGTGACATAGTCTGAAATCACCCTTAGATTACTTTTTTCCCCATGTTGGTTCGGTTGAAGAATAAATGTTTTCGATGCTCAGCGCAACCAGTAAAATTGAAAAGAACTAATCTTTTCACTTATTGCATAAGATTATCAAATAAACTTGTGGAAATCATATTGACAAAAGCTTCATATTAATCACTTTATGGATTTTTAATATTCTTTTATAGTTATATTCTTGAAAAAATTACATTTACCAAGGCAGAATGTTATGTATCACAGTATTTGGGCATCGAGTTGATGTGAGACATTAAGGAGGAAGAATGTATTTGTATAATCTCAGCGAATGAATTTAAAGTAAATCTAACATTTCTCCTGGCAATCTGGTCCAAGCTTTTTCAAGGAAATATTTTAAAAATACATTCTTCCTCCAGAATGTTATGCATTTTACCAGTCTAACTATAGTAAATTAACTTCAGTGTTATTATAATTTATATTATAAAATAATTTTAATCACGAAAATGGAATCAGGAATGATTATTTTGTTTTTGATTATATTACATAAAGCGGGAAATACATATTAAGTGATTAAATCACTGCACGTTGCTTGTTGCTCTGAACAGCATCTGTATCCATTTTCCGCAGAAGTATTAGACCTCAATGTTGTTCAGAATGACAATGAAATTTCCACAATTAATACAACATCACCAAAAACATCCATCTGTTATGCAAATGTTCTTCATTATTTCACGAATCTAATGGGGATTATTAAGTAGTATTATTTGAGTTTTCAGTGAGATCATGAACAGATCAATGTTAGACAACCATTGAAAACCTATCGTCGTAGTATGGGACTCCACAGCAGTGTGTATTCATGATCCCGCACGCTTAACTCGAACCCAGGATGCTTGGTCGCGCGCGAACTCTTAGCCTCCAAACCACTGAACCGGGATCCAACTTTTCACAAAACCTCGTGGTTTTGAATACTGAAGTCCAATTAAGGCCTACGTGTATCCAAAATCATTTCTAAGGGATAACTCTCTGTTCAAGTTCATGTTAACTTAAAGGTGTGAGATAAAAATGTTTTTAGATATTTTACTATACAAACTGAAACGATAAAACGATCTTAAATCGATCTCTATGAGCAACAGTGCGCGAATAAGTTTTTACAGTTAAAATATAATGCTCATTGTGCATTATAAAATCTGTAAATTCAGCTTTCTGGATATTGTCAAACTCTTTTTTCAAAGTTATTTCAACTGAAAATAAGTATGCGGAACTTATCATCGGATAACTTGTGAAGCTGAGATTCAAACTGATTCAACACTACTTGCTAAGATGTTACTTCTAATAAATAGAGAAATTAAAATAACCCATAGTGTCATTGAATAAGAAAAAGAAGAATTCAGCGAAGAAAATTTTCTTTTCGACGAAATCATTTACTTAAGCTGTACATTCGTATATATAGTTATATGGAAAATGTATGTCTATAGAAGGATAGAGTGGGTTGTATCACAAAAATGGATTCGACAATAAATAACAAATGAGGTTAACGTACTAATCAAGGGGTAAGGAAGAACAAAATTTAAGGGTCAGATAATAGTCCAATTGACAGATATGAAGAAAAACGACAAAACAACTGACTCATGATTTCAATCTGTGAAAACAACAAAGGTCATAATAATAAACTGAATAATAATCAAGAAAACTTGTAAAAGGTAATAGTAATAAATGATTAGAGTTTAAAGTGCAAAATAGTAATAATAAAAAATAGAGAAATCTGTTAATTCAGTGCTTTACAAACTAACTGTCATGTTTTTTTTATCCATTCACAACAAACACCATGAGTTTACTATATCCGATTATTTCGATATGCATTTATCGAATCATACACCTCTTCAAACTTAAGCCTTCGACAATTATTCATAAAAAGTCCTTTTGCAAATATTTTCTTTCAGAGACACATATCTAGTTCTATGTCATCACAATTTACACATAAATCGTTTGATTTATTCTGGCCGAAATTCATCAAAATTAAGTGAATAAAGTGCTCTAGATGATACCCGTGGTAGAGGACATAAATTGGTAAAATCGAAAGTGATTTCTTTAAATACCATCAAACGTTATAGATTTAATGATAGATTACCCTATAACTTATGTTTGTAGCAATATTTTTAGACCACTTTAATTGTCTACTTACTTGTCAGTTAGAAATAATTCTGCACATGAGGTAAATTTTTAAGTAGACAAAAACTTTGGCTTCTGAGATTTTTGAAGTTGTAATTAGTGATTCTTTAGCAGTCATACCGTTCAGTTATATCACATCAGTCTATCTTGTTGATATCGTTTCTCAGTCTTATATTGATGGATAAATTTTCTCCGTATTCATTTAACCAAAATAAATAAATAGTGGCAAAATTCTTTTATCGATTCACATGCAATTCACGTCATTATTATTAGCGGTTCAAATTATTATTTTAATCAATCTTAGCATCTGTTCATTCCGTCTGGATTGCCTCCACCAGGCCATTTTGTCATAAGCTTTTAGAGAATAGATGGTTTGTGGCTAGCAGTGAACTTCAGTACGCTGGTTTTGTTCTATTTGAAACTTGTTATCTAGGTGTATCTGGATTCAAATTTTGATGACCACATTGAAACTTCAATTCAGTATTTTTCACTTCAAACTCCTAACATCCGTTGAGCTACATCAATATTGACACACAAATTTATCCAGCTAAAAAGTTCAAAATAGAATAAAATATATATCTCAGATTGCACTACTAGCTGTCACCCATCTATTTTATAAAAATTTGTATAGTTTACGTTTCTCTGACTACAGTTTTCTCTGGTCTTCAAAGTCATTTAACCTAATGACTATATTATGTACACCTTAATTTACAATAACTTTTAACCGATTAATTTCACATAATAATACTATTAGTCAGTGTTTAATTGTATTACTTAATAACTACACTTGTTCAAGCGTAATAAATAAATGTCAGTCTATCGTTTTATTCTAATTATCAATGATACATTATAAGTTTTTATGCTCAGAATTTCATAGACTTCAGTTTGTTATTTGTTTGTCTTTGTACTTTATAGCAATAGAATCGGAGTGAAACGTACTAAACCGACTACTGATGATAATAATATTAATAACAATCTAACTATTACTAAAAATAACGTTGATAAAGAGAAGTTGATTGGTAATTCAGTTCCATTAACTAACCGATCAGTTGCATCACCATCAATGAAAACAACAACTACAATTATCACAAGCGATACTTCAGTACCAATGACAATGGATCATACATCAGTACCAATAAAACGTACATCATCAACAATAAGAAAATCTCTTGATTTAGGTAATATAGTCCCATTTGCTACCTCTGTTGATATCAAACACAATAACTGTAATAATGCAAAATGTATTTATGGTCATCACAATAGTAATTTGACTAATATTCCTGTATATGACAATGTTGTACAAAGTGAATTAGATCCATTAAACAATACGAATTATTCTCCAATGTCTACCAATAATCGATATAGTTTTAGTGATGTTTTAAATCCAGTTACACTGAATTATATAGATAATTTTAATGTCAATAATAATAATAATAAGAGTCATGGTTCAATAAAAACCCCGACATATAATCTTAGACAAAGTGTCCGCCAAGAACAACAGCAACAACAAAGACATCACTTATGCAAACAAACATCTTCCACCACTAGTGATTATTTCACTGAAACAAATCATATTCATTCACCTGTCGATACTTCTTCCAGTCGTCATTCTACAAAATGTCCAGGAACAAAAACAATCCGATTACCTGTGTAAGTAGTCTTTGTGTGTTTGTGATTGGTTGACTAGTCCCATATGTATATTGTTGCATAATTTTGTAATGTATGTATATTTTACCTATCAAGTTTACACTCTCTTGCAAACCAGTTTCGCCTGAAATAGATTTCATGCATGAAATTGCAAACTCTTTTTTTATCCTCAACTATCCTTTTTCTTTTTGGAGTACGCGTAATCTAATTGTTGATTGAAGAATATAACTTATAATATAGTTATAAAGTAATCTTCTTTAGTTGTCATAAAGCATATATACAAATAACTATTATTGTAACATTGATTGCAACTGTAAAATTTATTTGAGAATGATACTAAACAGGTGTAATTTTAATAAATAAAATGGTTCGCTTCCACTTTGGCCTAAATATGTGTATTCTCATTACATCCTAGTAGTAATAACTTTTTGATAGTTTGTAGTCATAATCACGTTATATTGTTACTATGTTTCCTTTTCATTAGGACGACATCGTACTCTCAAGATCCTTTATTCATCCGAAATAATCAGTCATCAACAGCCACAACAATCAAACCATCATCACCAACAGTTACATATTCAATTAATAAAACTGCCAGAGAACCATATTTTACTAGATCTGTTCGTGCTCGAGCACTACATACTTCCATGACAGATTTATCTGATATGTTAATTGGATCACAGTTATCTGATTATTCAAATAATAGTAGTAGTAGCAGTAGCAGTATGACTTATGATTCTTTACCATCAACTAGTCAAAATTCCAATACATCAGTTAATCTTTACACCAGTCCATCACCATCATCATTTTTTAGTGAACTGTCAGCGTCAAATAACACTCAAACTCCTTTGTCATTTGCTTCACTTCCAATAAGATTTCATTTTCGTCATCCGAATGTAACAAAGAATAATGATCAAAATCATATTAATGTAAGTTTCGTTTTTCGTTAAAAGTTCTTGTTTTCTATACAATAACAGTTTTACCAACAGTGTTAGCTTCTAATAGCACATTGAAATGCTCAAATTTTAATTATTAGAAAAAAGCCAAGTATAAGAATTTATTCTCTGCCTATTTGTCTTTCTCTGTTTTGTATTTTTTTAAACATATTCATATGTATTATCAGCGAAGAAAATTTTCTTTTCGGCGATATCATTTAATTAGGTTGTACAATTTTATGTACGTTTAACTTGACATGTGTAATAATCTATTATAAAACTGATTTGGCTATAAATTGTTCGGAAATATCAATAATCTAGAGTAAGGCTGACGTCAGAACCAATGTGAACAAATAAAACTCGTAAATTGAAGACCAGTGTTCTAACCCCAGAGGGATCCAGGTTGTTTCTTTCTGAATTTATATTTCCGAACAGTCACATAGAAGGGGTTGGTATTAGCAAACAACTATCCTGAATGAAACTACTGACTGAATTGCACAATTATTTGTAACTGCTAATCAAGTTAATCCTGAAAGATATTTTCAGAAAGAGCTCACGTCGTGTTAAAAGTACATTTATCTTCCAATGGATAGTTCAGCAAAACAATTTTAAAATCATGAACTAAATCTGTTTAATTCAGATTGTCATAATTTTCAACTCAGACGAATCTTCAGTCATAGATATACTTGGTATACACGTTCTTAATGAGGTCAATCCATTCGGATAGTTTACTTACTATTTGTAGATGAGTTTCAGAGTGGAACGAATACAAAGGCATCGACATCCATTCGAAAAAAACAACAAATGTTTTCCAAATCTTTTCGTGTACTTTGTTAATGTTCAAACAATTTTATCTATACATTATTTTTGTTTAACACAACTTCAATTTTAATACGAAAGTGATCGAGGTCGTAAACCTTTTACTATATAGTAAATAGTGTACAATCATCACTATTATTACCTGCTTAACCATTTTGAATACGAATTTTAACAGTGACAATTATAGAAAATCACTACTGGTTGGTATCGTTTCACGTGAAGTTGTATCACTTCTACATTTGCTCCAGTACAGTGTACCATAGTTTATTTATCTAATAATTTCATCAAATACCCCTGTAAAACTCGTCGAATTTCATGTAAAGCCCCTAATAATAATAGTTGATTGTTATGTTTCCTTCTATTTTAAAACTTATTTAACAAAATAACCAAATACCCTTCCTAGATTTCTAATAATAATGACTTCTGTGTAATCACATACACTGTTTTACATTTGATTTCTGTAGTAAGATATTAGATTTTCTGTCTGCTCCATTTCATATACCAAAAATAACCTTGATGCATCGCAACTTCAATCTGATCGTATTTTAACCATTTCTGTGTGTGAAGTAGAAACTTTTTCCTACTATTTTATAGTTTGGTTTCTGGTGAACATATTAGTTCGTTTTGGACATCATTTTCCATAGAAATCAAAATTAGAGAAAATAAACTGTCGAAAACCAGAGACTAGTAGACAATTGTTTCTTTCTTAATTTTGTACAAATCAGCAGTGTGCACCTGCGTCCCTACAGATGATGAAACACGTTTAATGGTGTAATACATATCTTTAGATTAGTGTCAATGTGCTTTAATTAATAACAATAAATACGTATTTGTCCACTGTGTAGAATCAATAATCAAAATACATCATAAATATTACTGTTTCTCTTGATTATTCTGGTTATATACACAATACAGCGTTTGTATTAGATGTAGGCTGTGTTTTTCACAGACTGATCTCAATTGACGCAGCATTGGAAACATGGAGCACTAAAAAGCTCCTTCTTTCTCAACAGTGTGGACTCATGACCCTATTATTTATTTATTTACTTTAACACATAGATATTGGTACAAAGAGGCACCATATACATATGCGCTACACAGATCTCATTTTATATGTGTGAAGGCTGTAATACTGCCCTGGTGCCCTATCAAGAATGTTGTCCCAAGATGACCGAGTTCTTAGGACTTAACTTCACTGGAATTAATATGCAATAGATACTACTCACAAATTAGACAAATATACACAAAACATATTTTTAAGAGTCACATTTTGTTCAATACATACTATGATAAGCGGATGATAATGCAATTTCTTTGGGATTTAGTTCTACATTAACTCAAACTGTTATGTTTTTCTCTAACTTCATTGTAGTTCTCAAAGTAGAAATTACTTTTCTACAATAAGCCTGCCAGTGCTAATCTTACAGTGTCATAGATGACGATCAATCGGAATTGAAATCCTTTTTTTTCTGTACACTATGTGACTTATTACTATTATATTACTGTATTCTATTTATTTCAACCCATTTGTCTGTTTTTTTCCACACAATATAGTCATCTCATTCTTAATTTAACTGATTTTGTCAGTTTCATATTGAAGAATTTTATCTTCCAATATTGTTTTTATGTTTAGCTTTGCCATGTCCATACTCGTAGAAGATTAGTGATTACTCATTCATCTGTTTAAATTCATATGACATTAAAATTATCGTTACTTTTGATCAAAATAACAACAACAAAATAACATTTCTCTTACTCAGTTTCACATTCACATGACTCTTCACTAATGATTATAACCTCATCAACTTTCTGGCTTCATATGACGTATTTTGTAATAGATTTAAGATTTAATGTCGATGAAGTTCATTATTTCCAATCTAAACACACTGATTAATATAATTAAAACCTTTATAATTATTCTCTAATATAATACCAATTGTAATAAGTTATGAGTGAATTTTCAATACTTTTAAAAAGTGAAGACAAAGTTCCTGAAAATAATTCCCGCTTATAAATATGCTCTTTATTTTATACAATTAGTGTATTCATGAGTTATTTTGTCATTGAAAATAGCAAGCTGTAATTACCAAATATTCATCAGCAGAGAATGTTGAAAAAAAACTATCGACTACTTTTCTTTAGGAATTCTGATTTTAAATGCTTTTATTAAAATAGAACATCAGGTAATCATACCATATGTTTATAGCATAGGATACACATGGTAAAGTATGTCGTTTTTGTGTTAAAGTTATTTGAAATTTTGTAGCTTACATAACAGACTGATCTTAGTTAGACAACTATTGGAAATTAAGAAGCACTGAACAGCTAGTTGTTCATTGTATGGGACTATATGCCTAATTTTTTGGAAACCTATACTAAGGCGAAACATATATCCAGTTCGTTAACGATATCACTAAACCATTATTGAATAGATGATTGTTAGTTGGTATTATTCATACATGGTGCACGTAAAATTGGATTAATTTGTAATACTCCACGACTTCTTTCATGTTTATAATTTTCTATTTAGAGATATTCATCGCAATTGTTTTTATTAGCCATAGTTGTATGTAATAATCTCATTTGAACAAAATGGGACTATAAGACTTGATATTAAGTTTCGTGATAAACTGGAAAATCCCACCGAATATTTCTTCCTGTATAGACCATCAGTGCAATAACTTTCAAACACTAGGTCTCAGTTTCGCGATCTGCCTTCCATCTAATTCTCTTTAGATATGAAGGGTGGTGTCGCTTAACCTCATACCTAAAGTATATCTGAAAGCCAGGTTTATAAATGTGTACTTGTTATGTTTAATATATAACATTCTAAGAAACCCCACATATGATGTTTAGTCATGTGCATATATTGATAGAATCTTCGTTCTTTTGAGTTCATGACACTATTTAAATAAACATGTTGTAGTTGAAAAACACAACATCACCAACAATATCCATCCACCTGTACTATAAGTCTTGTCCATTGTAACACAACTCGTTTATCAAGTGCATTATACCTATGTACTTGGTTGCAAGTATCAACTATATTTTCAATATTAAGAACTACATCTATACTACTACTAATCAACTAATTTAAAGTTATCATGAAGTGTAGAGTCCAAACATGAAACAACCTAGTTAGTGATTTATTTTTTTAAAGCATTTTAACTGCCACCTACTTCATAAACATCATTTAGATTAATTCAGTGTAATTATCCTTGTTGTTATAATTATATTTTGTTTATCTGCCTATTACTTTTCAATTCTATGCGCATAACTCTTGACATGACATGTTTAAAGTGTATTGTTATTATCATCACTTTCAATCGCTTGAAGTTGAATTCGTAGAAAAGACATTAAACAAACAAATGAATATTCCATCATTTATGATGTGATGTTTTTTTACCAATGATAATTTTGATTACATTTTTACATCTACCTACCCATGTGATTGTAATTAAACAAATTTAATGTGTAATATGTTACTAATTTTATTTAATGTTGACATCTCGTTATTTGCCTTTTTTTCTCTTTACAACTAATTATATTTTTTCTAGATTATAAAATGTAAACGTATCCGTGTGAGTTAGAATGAGAAGCACACATGTGCATATTGTATGTGTGTGTTTTCGTATGTTTATAGTTATCCATACATTTATCCTAGTGTGTACACATTAAATACAGGATCAGAATTATAAAATAAAAATGACCAGTTAGTATCACAAAGTATGTAAAGATATCATACAGTTTTGATTACATAATTTAATAGTATTTTGGTTACCATATATACACCATTTGTTGATCGTTTGTGTATCCATGTCTGTATATATTCGGCTGCATAGATTGCATGGTCCTCGTACACACATAATTATTCATCTATATATTCATTGTTGTCCTCTTTATTATCACTGTCATCATATTGACCTTGTTGATCACTTACGTAATTCACAGTCTAAATATCAACTGTAGTAGTTGTCACATTTTAATGTTGTGTAAACTGCATATTTTTATCGTGTTACATAATGCCTATCAAACGTTTTACCAATGTCAATTTTTTTATTCTACAGCTTATTTATCATATCTATAAATACTTCGGATTGATATACTTCCTGCACTCATGGTGATGTAATATAATTGAGGAATTTTTGAATTACTACTTAAAATACTGGATATATATATATCACTCAGTCATTCAGCTACAACATAGGACCAGGTACATTTATGCATCAGTCTAAGTTGCCATACCTCATTGACACAACAAGATGGACACCGGATTCATAAAAGTAGTTAATTCAGAGGTGGTAATATATATAAAAGAAAGATTGCAATAAGGGTATAGTACATGAAGAAGGAATTAGTTCGTATAAAGAAAGATATGAAGCGATTTCAATCTCTTAGTTTAAGGGAAGAAAGAGAGTGTATACACCGACACCATTGTGATCGGTTCTGAGCCTATATATATATATATATATATATATATATATATATATATATATATATATATATATATATATATATATCGTGATTATAATATGAGAAATCATACTAGCCAACTGCTTGCAACATGTCACTTGTTTTAAGCCACAATTATATGTTTAGTATGTGTGTTAATCGTTTGTCGTAAATTCATTCCAAATACTCAGAACGTAATTTTATGATGACATTTTCCATTATTTCGATCTTATGTTCCAATAATTTCCACATTAATGACAATCATTCAATTAGAATGCGATTTTATATGGGACGAATGCTTTAAACTATTTGGCCCTTTAAAATTTTTCTACGAAACTTTACCACAGAATAATACGTCTCGTTTTTAATTTGAAATTGAGAAACCACAATGGTTTTCACGTTGTCAGTATTATGTCTTATCATCTTTGTAGTTTTAAATCTCATCTCAGATATCGCTATATGAAAAAAAACTATGTTTATACTTTAAATCAAATAAATCCTACACTACAATAGTTTATTACGTACAAAACAGAAAAAACCAATAATTTTTGAAAGGAATATGACATGAGTGAAAGGAAATAAGACATTATTAACAGAATTTATATTTGCATTTATCCTTCCAATACAGTCAAATATATTTAAATTGAGATCTTGACTAAGAATATAATCGATGTCCTCTAACAGCGTGTTCCATTTACAATTTTTCACTTACGCTTTAACCCTAAGATAACTTTTGAGCACCTACGTGTGATATGCCTAACTCGCTCAGTCTATCAGTCTATATCTAAATTGTATGTAATAATTAATTCTATAATCACATGCTGAGATGTCTATCATTTCTATTCAAGTTCGTCTAGAAGAAAATTGCATTAATTTACTAGAATAAATATTTAGTATTGTTTGATTAATTAATTGATTATTTTTTTCTCCCTATTTTTACTTCTAAATACGGAAATCATTAATATTTTAATTCATATAAAGTATGGACATTCATCTTATGCATTTTATTAATAAGATTACAATACTAATAATATATACAGGGATAAACAGAATGGATCTGAACTATGAAAAGAAAATAATAGAAAACAAAACCAACTCAATTGAATGTGTAGAAAGTAGACAAATCCCTGCGTTTCATTAGTCTCTCGAATTTTCCTGCTGACTTTATTTTCTAAAATTGCTTGTCTATAACTTGTTTCCTGACATTTCATTTAATTATGCATCTAATATGTTAGTTTTCGTTCTTGATTACTCGTTGTTAAAATATAAATATGAGATTTTATCATCCTGCCTTTCAGATAATTCTTATTATACATTAAAGTTGTTCTTGCTGATATCATTACATTACACTTAAGTCTTTCACTTTACCAGAAACGTACATCTTTATATATTATTATTATTGGTTAAATGTGTGTAAATTGTATTGCGGGCATTTATTTGTTGCATTAATCGTATTATCTGATTCAATTTTCTGTTAATTCTAAGAATTCTCAATCATAATCCTAAATTTCAAGTATATGGGTGGGTTGCAGTTCAAATACAATGTACCAAATCATTGCTTATTGATAAGATGCTTTCAAACTACTGATATTGATATTCAGTAGGCATGATGTATTATGGTAAACCATTAAATTGCACTTTTGTCTACATAATCGACTGCAAACCTATTAACTCCCATTCATCTACGTATATATACCGTACATTGTATAAAATATATGGTGAATTATGTGTTATAGTACGACAATTCTAATTTATTTTCCAAGTTGATTTACAATGACACATTATTAATATACACCATTATTCTTTGTGAATTCTACTCTTGTTATCTATTAATTAACGTATAAAAGTCTACATATATTCATATATGACATCTATGAAGCTGGCTTTTTTCTCTATGTCTATTCTTTTAATTATTTGTGTTCAATATACATATATACTTCTTAATATCAAATACAGATTTATCTCTTCTGCTAATTTACCATATTTTTTCACAAAAATAACTGAACAAAGAGATATTGGAAAAAATTATTGTGTATTAAGTAGTGACAAGCCGAAACCTGTATATGCGAACGAAAAAGACAACCGTTTGCTGGTTAATAACTTGTTAGCGCTTCCAAACTTCAACTGGTTTCTCGACTGATTTCAATACTCTTACACTTTACAATTAAGAGATTGACTTAGTAGTTAAGTTTTAACATTCTACGTTATTATTAACAAAAGGACTGGTCAAAATGTCCAATTTTGTATGAGATATTGTCAATATGCAATGTGAATACTATGATCGTTGAAATTATTAACATCAGTGCAAAGCAGGTATCCATACCAAGGTTGGACTTCATAGTTTCAAATAAATTGAGGATTTTGTAGAGAGTTAATAATAAATATATTTGTGTCATATTACAATGAGTAGCAAAATCGTATTTCCGACGTTTCGTGGCTTAATTTAAGCCACTTCTTCTGAGTAAATAAACGACCGACATTAACTCAAGTTTACATAGCACAAAGGAAACAATGCAAAATATTTTTAGTACAATTAAAATCATAATAGGTCTGAATATGTCAATGTGAAATTATTCTTGCATGGCCTGTCACTGTACTAATTTGTGTGTCAGAATGTGGGCATGAGAGATGTACACATTTGTGATATAAAGTAGTAGGTTGAGATTGTGTGTGTAAAAATAAAGTCGGATGTGGTTGTTTGGAAAAATAGTTCAGGTTTAATGAATCATTCAGGCCTTCATTCCTATTTAGGGTAGTGGGATTTAGCATTATGTGAAACGCTTTAGCTACTCGCATCTCTTTGTGGTCAGAAAGCCCTTTCTGAATTATTTTGATATTTTTAATATCAATTTGGTGAATATTGGAAATAAAATGTACTGCTATTGCTGATTTGTGAATTTTCCAATTTTAGAGAATTATTAGGTTTTTGTGTAACTTAAATGTTCCTTGGTACGGGTCGAGGTCTTACGGGGAGATTCTCCAACATTGAACGCATCACAATCGATACAGCATAATCTGTAGACAATTTTGAGTGAAAGTGAACGGATACCTATCTTTATTTCCAACTAAAGCGTTTCCTAATGCGTTAGTTGTCTTACAGAAACCTTTAAATTTCCGCAGCAATTCTTTTGTACCATGGTGGTAAGGTAAAACTACGGTACTAATACATGAAATTTCATTAGGTTTTTATTTACCGAAGGACAGTTTTGTTTTAATATGTTTATGGTAATATTTTTAGGAAAATTGTTAGAACGTAGGACGTATGTTGTATTCTCTTTTTCTTTCAGCTTGTCTTCTTCTGAGGTAATGTTTTTGGTTGCTCTTTTGAAGAGATTTACGGTTAGGGAAATTTCGGCACTAAATGCATGCGCAGAGTTAAAATCAATATACCGATTTGGGTGTGTCGTTTTTCGGGATATAGCTTTCATTAGAATTCTTTTTAACCAGTTTAAGAACGATGGTCCACTATGTTCATCTGCCTTTTTGACAGTGAATTTGATGTTTTGAAAAATTAGTAAGAAGTCTTTTCAATAATGAAAAATGTGTCATCTGCATATCTGAGCCAGATGAGTGGTCTTGATGGTATTGGCCAAAACGATCGTCACAATGTGGGACATAAATAAATTTGCGACGATCGTCGAAACTAGAGATCCCTTGATCAATAATAATTTCACATTGACATATTCAGACCTATTATGATTTTAATTGTACTAAAAATATTTTGCATTGTTTCCTTTGTGCTATGTAAACTTGAGTTAATGTCGGTCGTTTATTTACTCAGAAGAAGTGGCTTAAATTAAGCCACGAAACGTCAGAAATACGACTTTTCTACCAAATGTAATGTAACAAAGGTATATTTATTATTAGTGCAATCGTCTCAAAACGTTAAGATCCTGATACCATACTTCAAGATTTAATTTAATGGAAGCATTTCAATGCATCAAAAAATGTAGCGACTATTCAAATTCAGAGACTGGACATAATTCCAGCTAAAAATAGCCGCAACCACTCAGGGATCTTTAAATACTAACATTATTACTAGGCATAATTACACAAGCTGATTTCCAGAAAGTGAACGCCACCGCATTAAATGGTAACTTGATCTATAAACGTTTAGATGAAGACGATTTGTAGGCAC